GGCCTTGTCCCATCTGAAAAGGTACAGCGGTGCGACCCGAACCATACCGAAAACTTAAAATCGGTCCTATGCCCGGAGGGGACCTATAATCCCGATTTCCCCCCAAAAATGTGTTGCGGGCCGTTCACACCGATTAACCATAGTAGCATATGGTGTGCCCATTTGTCAGCGGCGTGGGAAGCCACGGGGCAAGGGATTTTTTTTTTTTTTTTTTTTTTTTAAATTTTATTATTTTTTTTTAAACCACCAGTACCTTCCCCAGTGTTGGGAAAATACGAGATGCTAGCCAGTACCCGAAGTTTTCGGGGGTCGGACAGAGGGTCGGCAATATCCCAAAAGTCATTTTTTTTTTTTTGCCCGTGCACGAAAGGGAAAGGAAAAAAAACGGGCCTTTGTACTGCAATGATGTCGTGTAGGGATGTCTAGGATACCGTGCTCACAGTCTTGCATGCATCTTACAACAAAGACGGTCACGTTCTCAAACTTGTTGTTTTCTTTTTTTCTTTTGTATTTGTTTGTTATGAGTACCCTGCCAACGAGGCAGGGCGGAATCCGTGATCTGCTGTAGTATTGTTTCCTCAGATGATTGCAACACTGATGTACCCAGCCGTTTCAAGGCCAAATTCATGTTTTCGTTTTTTTTTTCTGGTTTTCATTTTCTGGACTCTGACAATCTGAATCCGTGATTTGCTCGAGCTGTGTTCCCTCAGAGGATTGTAACCCTAATCACACTGGCACTTACGGGAATGTATCTTGCCATTTTCATGGTCGAATCCATGTTTCTGTCTTTTTTTTTTTTTTTTTAGTTTCTGAAATCTGACAACCTGGCCACGGGGCTGAGATGCCCTCACTGAGGGCACACTCACACTTACACTTCCGATAATGTATACAGCTGCAATCACGCCCAGAGCTTCGTTTCATTTTTTTGTTTTGTGAGTTTTCACGGCCGCAACTTTTCTTCTTTTTTTTAAAAAAAATTTTCTTCCCATGAGAGTACCATAAAGAAATGGAGTGGGACCTAGGCTCGGCAAAACTCGGAGCGCAGTGAAAATCAGCGTCGGCAAAAACAGGCTCGGAGGTACTGGTGGTTTAAAGGCTAATTCTTTAAACCACCAGTACTTGGCCCAGCTATCGGCCGCGGGAAAAAAATAGAGTAGAAATGTTTCTAGTTGGATGATTTCGGGCGCTCCTGTGGTGGCCCTTACGTTTCCTAAACACGACTTTAGGAAGTACTGGTGGTTTAAGCCCAACCAATTCAACCTGTCAAATCTGGACGGCCTTTCAGGCCTTTTTTATTGTCATTATAGTATTACGGGAACCCCCTAACAGCCACTTCCGTGCCCACCAGCAGGGGCGATACCGGCCAGGGGTCAGCCGGTAGCATCAGGACCGAGCTTCTTCGATGGGCCAGTCTCTGCTCAATGCCACTTGGGGGGAGGGCAAGGGATTTTGCGGTCACCGCAAATGCCCTATTCGTTTTTCGCATTTTCTTCACCTGGATGGCGCCATGTGACCAGCCAAGTCCCAAATCCCCATTTCTCCAGACGGCCGCGACCTTGTCCCATCCGAAAAGGTACAGACTCTACAGAGTGTGACGTGAGCCATGCCCAAAACCTCAAATCGGCCCTTCCCTTGGGTTGCAGTGTGAGTATGCCTTCAGAGCAGCAGGATTGCCATAGGCAGCTTGTTTCTGGCAAATCTCTGGGCGGACCTCGCTTGCTTTGCCCGGTGCCTATATAGCTTAGGACGGGGCGGCAATTTTGGTAATTTCGCGGGGAGCTGTAAGCCGACGTTTCCCGTCTTCGCCATCTCCGGCGGAGCAGTCTGTGGCAAGAGGTAGCGGGCGTCGGAAAGGTAGTCAAGGGTAAGCTTCGCTAGGTTTTGGCCATGGAGTCAGCTTCTAACGATGTGGACGGTGTACCGGCGACGGAGATGAGCGCGGGAAAGGAGGCTCCGTCATCTGAACCGACGACAGGGGCCAAAAAAGGCGGCGGGAAAGCTGATCGGAATGCCCTGAAAGCTGAAAGACTGGCCGCGAGAATGGCGGCCGCATCGTTGAACTCGAAGGTAGTTGATGATCCGCTGGCATGCAATTACGGCGACGTGCCGATGAAGGAACTGCAATCGAAGGAGATATCGGGGAAGGTTTGGACCAAGGTTGGGGATCTGGAGAAGAGCTTGGATGGGAAGGTGGTCCTGGTCAGAGGGCGGGTCCACAGCGTCAGAGGAAAGGGCAATCTTGGGTTCCTAGTGATTCGGGAGGCGGGTTGTACAGTGCAGGCGGTTTTGACTGTCGGCGAGCACGTGAGCAAAGGAATGGTCAAGTATGCGTCTCAGCTAAGCAAGGAGTCCATCGTCGACGTCGAGGGTGTAGTCACAGTGCCGAACAAGCCCATTGAATCCACGTCCCAGCAGGTATGTGTAGTAAGTCCTGCTTTTTTCCAGGTGCGAGATCTCTGCCCGTGGGCATCTCGTTCAATTGATCGTGCCACGGAACTGACGGGGGAGGGAGTTGACTTTGTCTCCTGCTCGTTCCACGATGGGATGTGCTTTGTGTACCCGCTTGCTTGTACGAGTGAGTGGCGGCTTGAGGAGATGCATGAAATGTAATTAATAGACTGATCTACGTAAACAGATGGGCAAAGTGATTGGTAGACAGGGAGATTGGTAGTGTGTGCGTGTGTTGCCGCGTGAGAGAGTACGTGCGTGTGTGTGTGAGATGTGTGTGTGTGTGTGTGTGTGTGTGTGAGAGTGAGAGAGAGAGAGAGAGAGAGAGAGAGAGAGAGAGAGAGAGAGAGAGAGAGAGAGAAGCGGACTTCGGAGAGGTAGTTGATTTTGTCTCCTGCTCGTTCCACGATGGGATGTGCTTTTTGTACCCGCTTGCTTCTATGAGTGAGTGGCGGCGTCAGGGAGATGCATGAAATGTAGGTAATAGACTGATCTACGTAAACCGATGGGTCAAGTGATTGGTAGACAGGTAGATTGTGCGTGTGTTCGTGTGTTCGTGTGTTCGTGTGTTCGTGTGTGTGTGTTCGTGTGTGCGTGTGTGTGTGTGTGTGAGAGAGAGAGAGAGAGAGAGAGAGAGAGAGAGAGAGAGAGAGAGAGAGAGAGAGAGAGAGAGAGAGAGAGNGAGAGAGAGAGAGAGAGAGAGAGAGAGAGAGAGAGAGAGAGAGAGAGAGAGAGAGAGAGAGAGAGAGAGAGAGAGAGAGAGGCGGACTTAGGAGAGTGGATGAATAGATTGATATGATTGTCCCAAATGAGGTCGATGAGAAAGGCAGGGAAGGTAGGAGAGATGGAGAGATGGATCGGGCGAATTGAGAGATGAGATATATGGAAGTCAAATGAAGATACTTGTTGGCCGATGATCGAGTGGCTGATAGAGTGCTGTACTAATAGGTAAGCAGATAGGTACGGTAGACAAATAGCTGGGAAGATTGTGGGATGGATGGATAGATGGATGGGAGGGTGTGCAGCGGGGCCATCGAGCTGGGGGAAAAGAGGAGCGAGGGCAGTCTGGATATCCGCACAGCACAGGATCTGGTCGGAGATAACGGTTGGTGTTGGAATTTTATCGAGGAATGATTCACAGTACCTGGCCTAGTTGCGGTTCTTTTCCTTCTCTCAAACGTCGTTTCTTCTCTCCCTCTACTTTATGCTTCTCTGGTCTTCTGTCTCTCTTTCATCCTGGTTATCCGATTGTTCACCTAGGTCATCTTTTTTCTTCTTTGTTTTTCTTTGGGTAATCCTTTTTCTCTCTGGCCATCTTCCAAATCTTTCTCTCGCTCCGTCTTGGTCTTCCTGTTGAGTGATAACCGGCTAGAACGGTGCTTCCTCTTGAGAGTGACGTGTTCGTCGTCTGCTGTATCGTTCCCGCGGCTGCCATGTGTAGAAGTCATTCCTTCGTGGTTTTCGCTGTGACGCTGAAGTCTATACCGATCTCTTACATGTGATCGCCTGTACAATTACTACAGTAGTTTTTTTACCTGGTGTGGCAAATTACGCTACACTTGGGGCATACTCACACAACGACCTTTTGGATAAAGCTCTGGAGCCGATTGCTGCCAGATTCATCCACGTCTGGCCGCAATTGCAGTCAGATGCATTCTCGAGCGTGCTAGTGTGTGAAATGCCTTTACGTACGTGCACCTCTCCTTTATCCAATAACTTCATCCGTATGTCTTCTTTTTTTTAGGCTTTTTTTCCCCTTCTTTCCTTTGATATCCGGGGAAAAAAAGCCAAGAAATCTCTCTTTTGAACCTTCTTTTTTGGATTCGTACGATGAGAGTTATGTGCCTACTTGTAGGTAGCGTTCCACGTCAAATCTATCGGTAGGCTTGAGCTCGGACGATCACGATTCCCGTTTGTTTTTTTTCGCTCGTCCTTATATATAACTTCGATATTTTCAAAATCGCCTATCCGCTTACCACAGGTATTCCCCCCCCGGGTCCCTTTTTGACCTTTCCTCGGTACTTTGCTTGCCTTCCTGGCCAGGTTCTTCTCTCGCTGGCCTGTTTTCTTCGTCTTCTGTCTTCTTTTTCGTTTCCTCCTTGCCTTTGGAATCCACCTCTTCGTGACTCAGGTCGCCGCCCTTCGTTCCCCGGGTCGGCGATGCTCTTTTTTTTTTTTTTTCTGTTTTTGTTTTTTTGTTTGTTTTTGAATCGGCGATGGTCTTGATCTCAGTCCCGTTCGTTACATCCAACGGACCCTCATCCGGTCTTCGGCTTTATGTTTTAGTATCTATTCTCGCCTGTTGCGGCGGTGTGCACACTTCATTTGTCCATCGGCATCAGCCCTACCTCCACGTGGATTTTTGCTCTTCCTCTCCCTCTCCCTCTCTCTCTCTCTCTTTTGAATCTCTCTACCTCGTACCTGTCCTCCCTCTGGTAAACTTTTTGATCACCACGCGCAAGTGATCTGCCTCTGGCTGTTTGGCTGTCATTCAGCGGCGGATCGTTGTCATAGTATTGTTTAGCTGGCACAGGCGCTGCCGGCTTACCACGTGTTTGGCTGTCATTCAGCGGCGGATCGCTGTCATAGTTTTGTTTAACTGGCGCAGGCGCTGCCGGCTTGCCACGTGGCCGTTAAGCTGCCTGTTTGTCAGGCAGTGCGCAGCCCTTAACAGCTGGCGGGTCTTCCAACTTACGCCGCATGACGAACTCAACTCTTCCTGCGGCGAAGTCCAACCAGCAAAGAGGATTGGATTTAACGACCTAATCGGAACGTGTTTGTGGAGAGGTGCAGAAAGTCGCGATTGATTCTGCTTTTCTGCATCTCTGCAGAAAACACATCCAGATTCAGCCGCTTAATCGAGTCACTCTTTGTGAGTGAGACCAGCCCCCGCGCTTGCACACCTTGCGATTCTCCGCTGAGAGATCGGCTTGCTCGTATTACTTTTGCTTGTCTGCCATAGCCGGGAAATTGATGAGGCGGCGGCGCCGACAACGAAGTGACGAAATGACAAGTGTAAAAGCAGCCAGATTCATCCAGGAAAGGCCTACTGGTAGTGTGAGGATGACCTTACTGTTGCCAATCTGCCTAAGCATCTACAAAAGTGGGCGCTTTTCCCCTTCTGGAGGGAGGAGAGAGGCCTTACGGGCGGGCGATCTGCGGGTGCTTAGTAGAAAAGGGTATTCATATGCATGCCTAATTCTTTGTGTAGGTAATTACGGACCTAACCTCCCGCCGACGGACGGCCGCCTGTTGTATATGCCGGTAATCGAAAATTCGGGCGTGGCGGCAGTGGCACGGGTATAGATCTTATGGGGTCTTGGGGCCCCGCTACCTTCTTCCCCCGAATACAACGTACGGTCATTATAGCTGTATTTAGACCGAAAGATACGCCAAATTCAGCTATAATGACCGTACGTTGTACTCGGGGGAACAAGGTAGGACAACAGGCCATATGAGAGGTCCATCCACTAATTAGAGGGGTCATCAGTTTTAGTTTTAACCTGTTGCTCCGGGCATTGTAGCAGCTGTGGAATCTCCTCGGTGTTTTTTGCCCCTGATTCACCCCAATTTCGTTGGTTGGATTCTCAAAGATCTTCTTCCTGTCTCCTCTGATTGACTGAAGGCCATGGGTGATACTCCTGCTTTGCCTGTAATGGCGGCAATTGTGCAACCCATTTAGGACCGCGTTAAGCAGTCCTGTCACCCAGAGAGTTGGGCGATGGGTGATTGCCCGTTGGTTGGTTCATCAGACATTTCTGATTGATGACGAGGACTGTGATGGCACTTTGTCCATCTTCCCGCTGTTTCTCGACGTTTTATGTCCAACCGAGTTGGTGAGTAGGAGCACGCCATTCTGCCACTGCTGCACTCACTGCTCATGTGGTAAATATCACTGTCGTACCAACTGACCTAGCTCAGTTGGTACACCCGTGCCTGAACTGTTGAAAGACACACCCGAGTTCAAGCTCCGCTCGAAGCAGATGAGGGAAACACTACAATTCTAAAAAAAAAAAAAAAAAAAAAAAAAACACCGTCGTTTCATTCACGGTTCTCTGGCTGGTTGGGTATATATGTGCTTGGTACACCGAAAACTTGCTGCTTGCTGGGTTGGACGTCGATATATGTAGCTACCAGTGGCGACAGCGGGTTTGTACAGAAGAATGATGCTATAAGGAACTTGGAAAACGGGATCGGGATGATGGCACTCCAAAAGATCAGAAAAGGGGATCGGGATGATGTGCCTGAGGGTGCGTTGTGTTCGGGGGAACCTCACATGGACAACATGTAAATTCTATTTTGGTTCCCGTCGTGCCCCGAATACAGCGCATACTCATCGTGACTGTATGGGACCGGAAGGATCATAGCTGGTATACATTCATCATAATGAGGGTGCGTTGTGTTCGGGGGAAGGCGACAGGTAGGTCAGTTTAGGTTTGGTACACTGGAAACCCGCTGGGTTGAGCGTCGATGCAAGAGATCCTGCAAGAGACGACGGGTTCATTGTTTTGCATGCTGGAGTGCGGTAAGGAACTTAAGTAGAGAGATCCTGCAAGAGACGACGGGTTCATTGTTTTGGATGTTGGAGTGCGATTGAAAAAAAACAACATTTTTTAACTCTGGTGCATCAAAACTATTGGTATCATGGAGTTGACTTGAAGGAGCTAATCAGTAAAAAACTCTCACCTGAACGGATCACACATGAGCCTGAATGCGTGGGGGTTGATGGCATCCCTGCCCTACTCGGACAACAAACACACTGTCTTAGTAGTTGTAGTTATATATAATGTGCAACGATATCAAGAGAACAGACTTGAATAGCGCAGCAAAGCCAACGAACGGATAGGAAACGATTCTCTGGCTATGGCTATTGACCTTTCCTCGGCCGAGGAAAAAGCAACGCCCTGACTATGCTCTTGTGCGCCAAGGTCGGAATGTAGGCTCTGTCCTTTGATGTCTATCTTCTTCGAAGTTCAAACACCTTTGGTCTTGCAAGGCGAAAATGAGCTTTATATATTCATGTTCATATCAACGAGGAACCGGGGGGATAAACAGAGTAGTAGTCGGTGTGCTAAGACTCCTGTTTAATATCGCAAGTAGGAAGATGATTATGATGATAGGAAGAGGCTGCGTTGACCGCCTTGTTCATGTTGTTGATTCGGTGATTATGATGCCTGATGATTCGGTTCCGCAATCGCCGAATCAACAACATGAACAAGGCGGTTCCTGCGTTTAACAAGGCGGTTCCGCGAGGACTTGCCTACCCATTAGGCGGTGTGACAATGCCCGACTTCTTTTTTAATGGTAATAATAAAACGTAGTGGAGAGTTGAGTGCTTTTGTTCATGTTGTTGATTCGGTAATTGGCTGCGTGTGGATTGGTTGCAGGTGGAGCTGCAGGTCAGGAAAGTGTATTGTGTCAGCAAGGCGGTTCCTGCCCTGCCATTGAATATCGAGGATGCTGCACGGAGCGAGGCTTCTTTCGAACAGGTTGCAAAACATAATTTCCTGAAAAGGGAAAAGAGCTCTTGAACCATCAAGGAAACTTCCTTACACGCGTTCTAATCCTTGATGTGTCGTCGGGATCTTTGCTTTGCTTTGCTTTGCTCTGTGGCAATCGTCATGTTATTGAGATTTGAATCAAATGAATAATTGGCATGGATGTGGTAGCAGCAGCAGCAGCAGCAGCAGCAGCAGAAGCTAGCTTATGTTTTTAGATAGTAATGCCGCTATGACCATGATGCATTATGCTGGTGCTATGCGACCGTCTCCACTGTTCTCGTAATCTTCTTGTCGTCGATGAAACAATGATGATGATTGGCATGGGCGTTGGTGTGGTAGCATCAGATATATGTAGAGATGCCGCCGAGACTGTTGAGTGTGCTGCTGGCCTCTTTCTATTGATCCCCTGTGACTTTTATCATAACCTTCTAAATGGCTTCAAGTCGAATAAGCAAGAAAATGATGGATCATGCACAGAAGCTATATATAGAGATGCCACTGCGACTGTGGAGTATGCTGCTGGCATCGTCCCACCGCCTTCACCTGAATATAACGCCCGGTCATCAGAGCTGTATCTGGGTCAAGTCTAGATACAGCTATAATGACCAGGCGCCCTATTCTGGTGAAGGAGGTAGTGATGCTGCTGTGACCGTNTGGGTCAAGTCTAGATACAGCTATAATGACCAGGCGCCCTATTCTGGTGAAGGAGGTAGTGATGCTGCTGTGACCGTAATTATAGCCTACTTGGCTGCAAGTATTATAGGCAATAAAAGGATGGATCCTGCAGACGTTATGCGGTCGTTTTTCCACCTCCCTTTGTGACTTGCCTCCATTTTGCTCACTCGTGCGTAACCTTCGCTTGTTTCTAGCCTCTTGTATGTCCCTTGATACTGCAAGGGACGAAGAGTCGTTTGTGAACGCTTTCTAGACTCTTGTATGTTTTTTATTACTGCAAGGGGCAAAGAATGGACTCTGGACTATTGCTATGTACGCTCCATGTTCTGTAGTTTGTTTGGCGGTTTGCTGAATGAGTACGATCCACTCCGACTTTGGCGTGCGAATCCGCGTTCAGAAGATACGAAAAGGGTTTACAAAAACAGGTACTGGGGCCTATTACAGACCTGCTACTACCGGTAGACAGACATGTCACTGGTGACAGTGACCGATTTCCTTCGATGATCTAGATATAGGGCCTCTCGCCGAAGGAGCGAGTTGTGGCTTTTGTGTTTGGTCAAGGCACTGAAGGAGCAAGATGTGGCATTTGTATTCGTGTTTGCCGTCTCGCTCGTGCATTTGTATCTGCAGGAGGGTGCACAGTTTTCCCGAGTGAACCAAGATGTGCGGCTGAACAACCGAGTGCTGGATCTAAGGACGCCGGCGAATCAGGCAACCTTCCGTCTGCAGTCTGCTGTTGGTCAGGTACAAGAATTCGGAAGACAGAAGCCCCCTCCCTGTTTTCTGTTCAGCCTCTGGATGAGTCGGTGAAACTGAGTTTGTCATAGCCCCCTGCTTCTTGTCGTTTTTCTCTCTTTCTGTTTACGGTGCAATGGGCACTTCTCTATGACTCTTTATGTATATGTACGTGTATGTATAAGAGGATACAGANGCCCCTTGTTTCTTGTCGTTTTTCTCTCTTTCTGTTTACGGTGCAATGGGCACTTCTCTATGACTCTTTATGTATATGTACGTGTATGTATAAGACGATATAGAATTTGACTACATACCTGGTGCCCATGTGTGCAGTTGTTCCGAGAGTTTTTGGTGGAGAGAGAATTTGTGGAGATCCACACGCCGAAGATGATTGCTGGAGCCAGCGAGGGTGGTGCTTCTGTTTTTACTCTTGACTACATGGGTCAACGTGCTTGTCTCGCGCAATCGCCGCAGCTGTACAAGCAGATGGCGATCTGTGCTGACATGGGCCGAGTGTTTGAGATTGGTCCAGTTTTCCGCGCAGAGAAATCCAACACTCATAGGCACCTGTGCGAGTTCACGGGCCTCGATCTGGAAATGGAGATCAAGGAACACTACTTCGAGGTGAGCGTGGTCTTACCAGGCCCGGCTTCCACAAATCCCATCTCACCCCTTCCCAGTGCTATGCTCTCGATCTGGAAATGGAGATCAAAAACACTACTTTGAGGTGAGCGTGGTCTTACCAGGCTCAGCTTCCACAAATCCCATCTCACCCCTTCCCAATGCTATGCTCTCTCAACTTCTCTGTCTGCCCGATTGCGCGTGCATGATGTGGTGCATTCTTCGTTTATTTATACCTTTGTACGTTTTGATGTTTGACCTGCGGACTCCAAATGCTTCTTCCTTTGACTCCCTGTCTGACCTGTCAAAGCAAATCTCACCCTGTTACTTTCTTTTCCCCACCACACTTGCTTGTATTGTATGGGGTATGCGTCCTTTTCGTTGTCCATTGTGATTTCCCTCTTTTCTTTCGCTGCAGATCTCCCTTTGGTTCCATTCCTCGTGGGCGGTCGCATGAAATGTCCCTTCTTATTATTGATCGCGTCCATGTTTCCCTGTGCATGACTTTCTCTGGCACTCTCTCTCAATTGCTACGTAACGTTATGCTCTAGGTGTTGCCTTCCCTTCTTCAAAGGCAGGGAACTCAGACTGTGTTGTTGGCGACATGGCAGGTGCTGGAGTTGCTGGATGGGATGTTCCTCCATATCTTCAACGCATTGAATACAAAGTATAAGAAGGAGCTGGATGCAGTGAACCAACAGTTCCCATTTGAACCACTGCAGGTGAGGATTGATATTGTCTTTCATTTAATGGACTCTGCTTGACCGGTCAATTGTCATGGCATCTCAATGGATGATGCCTGCGCAACGTCACTACGACCACCCGACGAGGTGTGGCGTCATGCTTTTGTGACCTGCAGTGTTTCTTTTGCCTGGTACATTCTCTTATCTTACAGTCGAGTGAGGGAGGCCTTTGCACAGGGGTGTGGTTTAACATGGGTGTTGTATGGCCCAATCCACTGTCACAAGACACGGAACTGGAATGGGCTTAGGCAGTATCTGCAACCGCTCCCCCGCCCCACAACTCCAACCCCACCCTCTCCTGCTTCTCTCTCTTGCTCTGTTGACTGAATTGCCGTACAGTGCAAAGGTGGCGTACAGTGCAAAGGTGGTGTGTCATGCGTTTTTATTTGTAAAATTTTAAAGAGCAATGCCCCTGACATTATTGGTTTGTCCAGCAGGACTTGAACTGTTGATCTGCTCATCGACAGACAGTTATTTTAATTTCCATCTTCTTATCCTAAATGGAGAGTAGGCTATCTTTAAAAATTATGGTGGCTCTTTGGTACCTAAATAAAAAGCTATGGTATTTCATTTCACAACCACAAAAACTATATGCACGTGCTACTAAGCAGATCAGCTGTGGGGTACAACGGCGGTGCTTCTTACGGTAGCAAGTGACACATTTCATAGAGGTGCAACCAGGTCTTTTGTTTTCCCCACAATTTCATGGTATGACATTTTGGTGCGTACCATGGAGATCCTCAGCTGAACAAACAGGTGAGTGGGTGACAAGCGTTTTGTACATGACAAGTTGTGAAGAATGGTCCTCAGTTGAAAAGGAGAGTGTGAAAAAGAGAATGAACATTGGTTGTTTGAATGGGGAGATTGAACGACATGAACCTGGTTGTAAATATTGCCAGGATCTTGCTTTCGTACGATGAACATCTCACCCGTGGGACCAGGCCCCAAGTAGATGATGAGTAAGTTCTTCTCAGGGAATGACCGATAGAGGGGTGTTTCGTCTGTGCAAATATGGATGAAATGCATCACATTTTGCTGTTTTGACCATGAGTAGCAGCTTAGGTTTTCTTATTCGTTCTTTATGAGGCGAACATGCCTTCTTACGGGCAAAGACAATCGGTTGTATGTCATGCACAGTAGACTATGAAATCTGGACGTGTTTCGTGACATCGAAGTTTTCGGATGCTCTTCTGTGCTGACCACGGCACGGCCACGTGGTCCTTGAGGAGGATGCAATCTTAATTGCATTGCCGTTTGTCTCGTTGGCTCAATTTGTGGGATGAATGGACGAAGCTGTTAACAGACTGGTACTCGGTGCGATGTGTGAAAATGCAGTATTTGCAGGATGGATGTCGACTGACATTTGCAGAAGGAGTTGAGCTTCTCAAGGTATGAATGCAGCTCTTGGAAAACCTACCTAACATTCCTTGTGTCTTTTCCCCATTGCCCACTGGCTGCTTTGGAGTTCTTCGTCCGACTGTGATGCTGTTGGAATAATGGATGGGTGGTTCAGCGCTGGCTGACCTATTTCGATTTTCTGTAGTTTGTGGTTTACCCCCCTTTGGATGGCAAAATGATGCAAAAGCAATACCTTGACTTCCTTGTGTGTGCCAAGTGTGTATGAGTGTCTATATTTGGTTCCTGGCGAAATCAAAGCAAAATATGGTGTGGAAGAGCGGTGGGCTGTTGGTTATTGTGAGTGTCAAGCATGTATTATAATGCAGGTGTGATCCACGGTGAAGTGGCAGGTGATGCCTTCTCAGTGTAATAGGATGGTGGAGGATTGGGGACGGTCACGATAGGAGGTGGGCGATGGGGAGGGTTACGGTTGGAGGTGGGCGATGGGGCCGAGGATGATGAGAACGAGTCTGAAATGAAGCAGCATCTGGTGGAGCAGGACAAAAAGGGCTGTGAGGCAGTGGAGAGGAATGGTAGAAGGGACGGAAGGGCAAGGATATGAGTCGAAGGAGGAGGAGATGAGGAAGGACAAGCAGGCAGAGGACAGTGAAAGGCGGGCCATGATGAGGGGAACGGGATGGTGTGGAGGAAATGGACAGGAAGTGAGATAGGAAGAAGTTGGCCAGGGGAGGAAGACTGAGGGCTTGGAAGGGAGACTGAGGACCTGGAAGGGAGACTGTGGAGGAAAGGAAGGAAGCGATACTGAGAGAAAGGAAGCAAAGGAAGAGGAAGACAAGGGGAAAGAGGATGGTGTTTGCATGAGGCAGAAGAGAGCAAGGTGTATTTCGTCTAGGGATCTGGAGGGCTCGGATGAAAAGCAGGTCAGGGAGGGGGAGAGGAGAATGAAAGACTGAAGAGAATGATAGTATAGAGGACTGGAGGAGGAGGAGGAGGAAGAGGAGCACGAGGATGTGGATGAATGACTTGGAAGGGGAAGAGGAGAGTGGAAGGCTGAGGAAGATGATATTATAGAGGTTTCGTAGTGGGAAGGAGGAGCAGGTAGAGTCAGGTAGGTAATGTGTACTGTGGGTTGAGAAAGGGACTTGAAAAGATGTACGGCAATCAAATAGAGAATAAGTGGGCAGGGACTGGCTGGAAGAAGCAGGAAAGTATAATCGGAAAGGTACTGGCTGGAAGGACGGGGAAAGTAGATGAGGTAGGAGTAGAAGGGAGGGATAAATGGATATAAAAGAACATGGACGGGTGGAGCATGATGATGTGGATTTCCAAGCCTGATTTCCAAGGTGCAAGATTGGGGAGGAGGACAATGGGGCAGCTAGACGGTGAGAAGAGGTGTTATTTAGAGGCGGGCGGTATGAGATGTATGTGCTTTAGGGTACGTCATGTGTCCAGTTTTGACATGTTTGGATCAATAATGAAAAAGGTGGCATTTCGTTGAATTCGTTGGACGCTTCGTTTTAACTTGGACAGTGTTTTTGTGTTAGGGTTGGGTCGGTGCAAAATTCATCGAAAATGTCAAAGACAAACAATATGGGCCCATAGTGCGAACATAAAAAAAAAAAGAAAAGAAACAGGCCAATTAAAACGAAAAAAAAGAACAGAAGAACACTGTTAAACCCTAACACAAAAACACTGTCCGAGTTGAAATGAAGCGTCCAATGAATTCAATGAAATGCCAACTTTTTCATTATTGATCCAAACATGTCAAAACTGAACACATGACGTACCCTAAAGCACATATATGTCACACAAAAAGAAAAAAACAAGAAAAAAAGCAAAAAATCAGCACAATGTGACAGCAGCTTCGGTGCAAAATTCGCCGGAAAATAACACCCCTGGTTAACCACATTTGGGGAAGTGAGGTGTAGAACTTGCAGGAAACGGAAGAAGAGATGGGATTGGGACAAGAAGATGGGAGTGGGGGTACATAAACGAGTCCACAGAGACGGGATTTGCACAAGAAGATGGGAGTGGGGGTGCATAAACCAGTCCGCCCTCTTTAATGTTCAACCTATAGCCTGAGTTTGAAATAGATTGGAGAGGGGTGTGGGAGGGCTCTTGTTGCTGGCTTTGTCTGGTGTTCCACAGCCATCATAGCATCTCTTAAATGGGCCAACCTTTGTCAGCTGATGCAGTATGACCAGGCCACTAGTTTGCAGAGCAGCGTGAGCTGTGAGAAGACACGGAAGGATGAAAAGGAGACAGGAGGACCAATTTCATGGTTTTGGCCCCTCGGTGGGTTCAAGCCGCTTGCATACTCTTTGTCATGCAGTGTGACCAGAATGAGAAAGGGAGAGTTATGTATGAGAGCCGGTGGCAACAACTAATCGAATCACTCCGCTGTAGTGCTGTGTGCTTGATGATTGTGTTTTCACATTTTCAAAACTTTGTATGGCTTTCAGGAAGCAGGTATTGAGATCGACCCATTTGATGATTTGTCTACAGAGACTGAGAGGCGCCTTGGACAGTTAGTCAAGGAGAAGTAAGTGGTCTTTTCTCTGGACATGTTTGTGCACATAAAACTGCCTTTTGGTTTTGTTCTTTATGTGAACTGGATTGTGGTCAGTGTGCTTGAAGGGCAAGTCTAGGTTTGTCGAAGACCGAGGAGTATGTTTCTGGTTTTTTGTGGAATGGAAACACAGCAATAAGTCTGGAGTGTGTTTCTCAACGCTCAGGCAAGTGGGGCTTGGTTGTCCCACCAACCAGCTGCGGTAGCTGGTCAAGTTCTTGTTGTACTCTCTTTTTTTGGTCTCCCAGCAGGATCTGAAGAGGGCAGTGGGTTAGCAGTTGGGGAGTGTAGGTACATAAAGGTGAGACCAGAAATAGACTATAAGAGGAGCTAAACTACCAGAAGCTCGTACATGTTTGCTTAGCAGTTGGGGAGTGTTATGTTCATAAAATGTGAGACAACTAGCTTTTAGGTGATATAGACCGGAAGTTCATACGTGTTTGCCTCCTTTCCGTCCATCTGACTCCCATTTTCTCTCTCTCGCTCTTGCCTTTTTCTTTATTTTCGTTTGCGCTCACGTCTCTTAGCGGGGAATCTCAGTAGCGTGACATGGTGCACAAATGATAAGATTTTGTTCCTCTGGTTGTTATTGTCTAAGCTACCAGACACTGATACATGTTTGCTCTTTCCCTTCCATCTCTTTAAACCATCAATACACCCGAGAGCCTGGCGGGTTCACACTGCGCGAAAAGGTTTGCCGAAACACCAGCGGCACAATTCCTTTTCTTTTTTGGCTGCTGGTGCCACCATCTGTTGTGGTGGTGTACCCTTATGCCTCCAGAAGTTTAGGAGTGAGCCATCCGTTGTTTGAAGTTGGCTGGCGCAGTGTACCGGCCATTTAAACTCTCATTTTCGCTCTCCAGTTGCCGAACTTTTCTTGTTTCGAAATTTGCTGAAGTCTCTTAGCAGGAAATCTCAGTAGCGTAGCATGGTGGAGAACGATAATATTTTATTATCTTCTTCCTCCTCTGATTTTGCTAGTGCTAGTGCCTGGTTACGAGGGGGATGTTTGGAATTCCGGACATTGGATACAGGACAAGAATGCCCCAGGTTGTGGAGGACATAATAATACTTGTGTGTCGAAGTGTATTTTTAGTTTGGTTTCTTGATTCAGGGTTTAGTGCTTGCAGTAATGTATATGTATGTTGGGTAACTCTGGGCATGGAGAGTTGTGCAGGTGGATACGGCCCATCATACGGGAGACTGACCGGTATTGCGCTGGTGTCGTTTATGTCAGGTACAAGACCGATTTCTATGTATTGCATCGCTACCCAGTGGCAGCACGACCTTTCTATACCATGCCTTGTGCTGACGATCCTCGATATACCAATTCGTTCGACATTTTTATCAGAGGTGAGAGCGACCTCGACGCAAGTGGATACCACCCAATGCAATGATTGAAGGCACTTGGTTGATGCATTCTCTTCACTGAATCCTCCCAACATTCTGTCCCGCAATTTGCTGTAGGCCCCCACCACGCCCCTGTTTTGGTGGGCCTTTGACCGTGGTTAATGAATTGGTGGCAAGTTTGGTTAAAATGACCCTTGGGATTTGTTATAAATGGCGTGAGGAGTTGTCTGAAAGTTAAGGCCTCCGTTAAAAGCCTCTCGGTCAATGGATGTGTTTTTTCCCCCCCTACTCCCAGCCCTCCCTTTTGTGTTCTTGCTGGACATCCCATCCCTACTTCATTCCGAGTGTGCACATCGTTGAGAGCAAGTCTGAACTTGATTGATGGGATGTCTGTTCTCAAAGGAGAGCATGGTTTGCCTCACTGCTGCATAGAAGGAAAATGGGTCCTGCTGGTGGTTAAGGTTTAGGGGCAGACTTCTTCGCGTGTGGCTTCAGAACAAGGGGACGGCTTTGGAAAGGGGTCAATAGGGAGGACTAGCCACTGAGGCTTATTACTGGGTGAATGGGGTCTGTCTGGGTGTGCTTGTGCCAGTGACTGGGATAAAAACCGCCACGCAGTTTGGGCTGTAACTCTCTGATTTTGAAGTTTCTCTTGTCCTCCAGGATTGATATCCCATCAGCTGAGATGGGGGGGACAACTATTGCTTCTCAGTGGAGACATGGATTGTCTTATGTTTCTGTGTTTAGGGAAGTCCTGACAATGAGCCTGCCATGTGTGTCTGTGACCTTGCCATGCATTTTCAGGTGAAGAAATCATCTCTGGTGCTCAGCGTATTCATGATCCTGAGCTGCTAACTGTGAAAGCCATTGAAAAAGGAATGGATGTGAAGGCAATTGCTTCATATGTGGACTCCTTCAGGTGAAGTTGTTAGCTGAACATAGCTCCGATTACTTAGTTCTGTACTGACAAGCTCTTGGCATACCTTGTCCATATGTTCCATCTGTTAATGCTCTGCTCATGCTGCTCATGCTGTTCGATTCCAGTCTGTTACTTGAGGCATGCTTCAATTCCAGTCTGTTCCTTGAGGCATGCTGTGCTCGTCCTCGTTTAGTGCTGCCTCTGTCGGTAGCGGATTTGGGGCTGAAGAACCTCTCCCTATGCTCCTCGGTGAATTCCATTGAAAGACTCGGAGGTTACTGACAATCCATTGGGAGGCAGTCTGTAACAACGGAATATACCTCTTCCATGTGTTCAATCTGTTATGCTGATCAATGTGAGTCTTTTGTTCCCTCGGGCATGTGGTGCATCCTTGCTCAGAGGCTGACTCTGGGCGTAGCGGGCTTGTGGCTCAACCTCACGTTTGCCCTTCTTGCACTGCAAATATACAGATTCACAGTTCGATGCCAACCCAACTGTCAACATTCCAATTAACCTAGTAGTCAGCCTGTTTTTTTCCCGACCATTGGAAAGGCAAAATTTTGAGATGCACGTGATCAGGCCATCGTCGGTGCGAAAGCAGCAGACAATACCAATGTCAGACTTCACTGACAGGTGGAAGTTGTGGAACATCCATTAAAATCGGAACGATACAGAGAATGAATATTAGCATGGCCCCTGCACAAGGATGGCACGCACAAATCGGGAAATCGTCTGTGGAAAAAAAAAGAAAAAAGAAAAAGAAAGCACCAACATTCCACCTCACAGCACAGAAATGACGCACACAACCCCTAAGAACAAAAAACCTGCAAAGGGATAGCCCCGGCTCTTCCAGAGGGTTTACACGTAGGGAGAACAAAGCTTCCCCTTGGATATGGAAAGATACACCACCATATTTGTTTTTGCTGTGCATGTAGAGACTAGCGGGGCGTGCTTGCTGTGTATCTGTATTCGAACATAGGCGGAGGAGCAAAAAACGCGACCCACACTTTTCGTGTGTACTTGTATTCGAACGTGGGCAGAAGGCAGGAAAATTAAAAAGTGTGTCCCACACTTTTCATTGGGCCCGGCCTGGCTCCCCGGCCTTTGTTCCCAACACTGGCGCACTGGGCCTCGCGGGAGCATTACGCACCACCCGCGATTCGCTTTAAGAGTATAGAGAAGAAAAGGAAGGAGAAGCTGGCAGGGGCAGCTTTCATTTGCCATGCAGCCAGAGATTAGTCGAAGTGAATCGGATTTTGAATTGTCAACTGAAATTAAGTCTGGTTATGCGAGTAGCCAGGGCAGAACAGCATTCTGACTTGTGCTTCTGGCCTGTAGGCTGCTGCTGCTACCTCCTCCTACATGAACTGTGGAGGTACAGAGGTCTGTTGTTTCGTAGTGTGAGAGGCGTGCACAGTACTTCGATTGGAAATCCTGATATTGGTCTGACTCGTCTTTTTGCACATGGCGAACGAATTCTCTTTGCAGGTATGGTGCGGTACCTCACGGTGGCGCCGGGGTCGGATTGGAGAGAGTCATCATGCTATTCTGTGATCTGAAGAACATTCGGAAGACGAGCATGTTCCCCCGCGACCCAAGTCGCCTTACGCCCTGAAGAGGAAAGGACATGACTCATGCCTCTCTCCCAGCTCCCCTCCACGACGACTCGTTGCAATTTTCTTGGTGGTGTTTCGCCATGTCTTCATAGTGGTGCTCTGCCTTCCTGAGCATTAGCAGGTAGTGAGCTGACAAGCATGTTCCCCTCCCCCGCGACCCAAGTAAATCTTATGCTCTGAAGAGGGACAGGACAGGACTCGTGCCTTCCTTCCGGTCTTCTCCTCTCCACTATGACTCCTTGCAACTTTCTTTGCTGCTGTTTCGCCATATGTCTTGCCACAGCGGTGCTCTTCTGTCCTGAGCGTTACCAAGTTGTGAGCTGGCAGAATCTCGCACCGCCATTGCTTATGATCTGATGTGAGCTAAATTTTGATTTATGGATCTTGTGGTCGTCTCTGCGGATTGGTTTTGATAACCACCGGTGATCCACCTGCCACAGCTGACTTATTCTTTCTTTTCTTAGAGAAGAAGAGAGATGTATTCCGCTGCTCGACTGACTCCATTCGGATAGGACTATAAGCCACTTCTGTGGCCAGATGGAGATTAAATCCCATTCTTAAATTGTTCAGATCGTTCATAATTTGTTCAGATATCATTAATCGTCGGTCCACTTTACTTTTGCAGCATGAGGCTGTTGAGTTTGCCCTCCACCCCGATCTCCTTATTTGTCTTCTTGCATGCAGCGTTGATCAATTGCGAGCAAGACCGTCGCACGTCATTTTTCTTAGAGCAGCAGAGTCCTTGTCAATCAATGTTTTGCTTCGACGACCTGTCGTGTTAGATATCGGTGGAAGATTGCCGGGAGCAGGATTTCGACCTTGCGACATTCAGAGTATGAGCTTGGTGAGTTGCCAATAACTCTATCCGGCGCGCGTAGAGAAGGATGCAGCATGATGTTTTGTCTGCCCAAATGTTGTGCGCGGATTTTGCGTTCCGTGGCACCCGTTCTCTTTGTGAAGCTGTTTTGTGGGGTTTCCATACCCCTCCAACAGTACTGATATTTTGACGGCTGAAACATGATTTGCTGAATTGAGGTGGGGTTGGGCCTGCCAGGGCAGGGGGCTGTGGTTCATCGCGTGTACCATTGCAGAGTGTGGGTCTGATGGGGGGCGGGAACAAAAAAGTGGCTGTGCTCTGTGTCGTTGAGCTTGTATGCTGGGAAAGCGCATCCGCTTCATCAAGACCCCGCACACATATAGAGTTTTATCTGATCTGAATTGTGAATGGAGGTCAAATGCATAGTGAGTGACTGCGCTGGCAGACTCTGGAAATTTGCTCTTTGCCGTGGAAGGGTTTTTTTTTTTTTTTTTTTCCATTTGTAGTGTTGTTGCCTCAACGAGTTTGGGGAGGAAAGAGTGGACTGTTGTTGTCTTGTTAATTGCAAATCAGTTGATCTTGAGAATTTACATGATGCCGCAGTTAAATGACTCTTCCATTGTCCTTTTGAGCTGGCTTCTGCTTCGGCAAAACTGCCGAATAGTCTATGCTTGCCATTAGCTTTGTCAGTTTACAAGCTGCTGGCTTCTTCTTCCATCTGCTCCCGGTCCCCAAAAAAATGCTTTGTGAACAAATGGCTCACGTTGCCCTGCACGCCAAGCTTTGCCGAGCCTGATTTTGCCCTCCACGCCAAGCTTTGCCGAGCCTGGAGGGGGGCGGGAGCCAGCAAGGGAAGTTTGTGGGTTTGGACAGGTATCGCCCTTGTGCTGGAACACAGTGAGGGTAGTTTTTTTCTTTAATGGCACCACCTCGGGCATGGCCACAAGCACAGTCAGATACAGTCTGGAAAGAGCACTCACTCTGCTGTAGAAATCCGTGAAACGACCGAGGCCTATTGATTGCTCCCTGTCTCTCACAGGGAGTTCATGTCAGAAACGGCCGAAACAGTTCATCCTAAGAAGAAGGGAAAAAGTACAAGAGGAAAAAAGGACATATGGGCCTTGCTCCACTATCCAGATGTGCAAGATGAGACTGAATCGTGCACCATGGAAAGATACGTTGCCATATTCTCTGGCTTTGGTGCATGTGGAGAGTAGTGGAGCAAGGCTTGTAACTCTCGTCCGTGTTGTCAGAGGCCTGCCTCTTCTGGTAGGAAGGATGAAATGACCCGTTTGCCCTTGGTCTACTACTCTTCAAATGCGCAAATGAAAAAAAATTAAGACGAGTAGTGTCGCGCACCTGAACATGGAAAGATACATTCCCATTGTCTTTGGTGTATGTGGAGAGTAGTGGAGCAAAGCTCATAACGCCGCCTCCCTGCTGGTAGAGGCCTGTCTCTCCCGCCAGGGGAGGACGGACGTTCTCTTTCGGCCTTGGTCCACTGCTCTTCACATGCACAAACAAACAAAAAAAAAGGCGATGTACCTTTCCATTGTCGAGGATTCAGCCTCATTTTCACATTTGGAGGGTAGTGAAGCACAGGCAGATACAGGGCATCGATTCACTATCCTCAAAATGTGTGAAAAAAGATAATCCTGAACATGGAAAGATAAATTGTCATAACGTTCTTTTGTGCATGTGTAGAGTAGTGAAGCGAAGCCCAAAGAAGAAAGATTCGTCAGTCCAGGCTGCACTACTCTCCACATGTACAAAGACATGTATGTATCAGACTCGTTTTGCATATTTGGGCAGTTATGGAGAGAGGGCTGTAACGACCACGGTAGGCCCGTTTCTGCTGCTTAACTGGCAGTTACTTTTTTTTTTTTTTTTTTTTTTTTAATTTGGACCATTTCTCGATTTATGCGTGTCATCCTTGCGCAGGGGCCATGCTAATCTTCTCTGTATCGTTCCAATTTTAACGGATGTCCCGAAGGACTGCCTAACTGGCAGTTACATCTTTGTTTTTTTGTGTTTTTTTTTCTTTTCTTTTCGGGTTTCATTTGTTTTCTTTCTCTTCTTTGGGCTATACTGCATGCGTGCATGTGGAAACACATGCTTGCCATAAACCATGAGGATAGTCTGCAATCCATTTGCCCCTTTTCCTTGGTTCCGACGGCGTTCCTCTCTATTGCACTACCAAGTCTTCCCCAAACCCCAAAAGTTGCGGCGCGTTAACGGCCGCGACTTTTCTTTTGGCTGGGCAAGCTACTGGTGGGGTAAAGGATGAAGGTCCAATATATTCATCTGGTACGGGGCCCAGTGGCTCATATAAACATTTACAGAGCAAGTCAAGGTAGACCCATCTTGTTGGGTTCACCTTAAACTGACGTTCTCTGAGCTTATTTAAAGTCGGATGCCCAAATGAAGGACAGACTAAAACATGCGAGGGATAGATCTGAGAAACTCCATCAATTACAGGAAGCTATCCCCCTGGCTTGGGTGCAACAGCTGACGCGATGACCCACCTTGAGAAGGGGGACTGGCTGGTCCATTGGAAGCAACGACACTCCCCAGCCATCATCAACCGGTCTGTAAGCAAATGGGGACAAATGGTACATAGGGAAGTTTGCGACATAACCTGCCCTGGGGCTAGGTGGTCGGCCCTTTCGCGAAACGAAGAAGCAGAGCATGACTGTACCTGGGCGGACCTGGTGAGAGTGAGGGTGATTGAAGAAAGAGAAGGATCGCTCCACGCCTCCCGACCCACTTTCCCCCTTGGAACCCTCACGTTCAATCGGCTGGAAGTCGTTCAGCCCGCTGGAAGTGGATGCAGATGAGCCGGCCAAACCCCTCAACCCTCGGCACTATACCGTTAAACAGCAGTACCACCACAGACTGTATAAATCCTGCCTGAAAGGTGAACTGATCGAATGACGATGGGAGGAAGACTCCATCGAATGACGATGGGAGAAAGACTCCATCGAATGACGATGGGAGAAAGACTCCAACCTCCTGCCGGAGGACCTCCGAGTCTTCTGATGGGAGAAAAACTCCATCCTCCTGGCACCCCAGTGGCAGATCCTGTACCGCTTTTCCACCCAGATTGGTTGGTCAGGCGAACATATCTCAGACGGTAAGGCCGTCTTTTCTCCGTTTGCTGCTATTGTGGCAGAATTTCCCAGCCGGCCTGGTCCACTCTGGAACACTGCCTCCTCGTGTGGCGAATGGTCTCCCAGATTTTGAGATGGACTGCCAGGGAACAAGGCGGGCATTTTGGCCGACTGGTCCTCCTATGAAAGGGACCCCTTTCATATCACAAGATTAGACATGATGATGATTGCTTGGTGAGCCCGCTGCTTGTTCCAGCGAAATCAGGATATGGTTGGTTTCCCACAGGGCGAATAGCACATAACGCACTATTTGACACCCAGAGTCAAGGGAGCATGGGACCAACGAAGACATCACGTACACGTTTCGCTTTCCACAAGGCAAAGAGCACATAACGCACTGTTTGACAGCCGGAGTCGAGGCAGCATGGGATCATCTAAGACATAAAAGTATGGACGATACAAGAAAAACCGATCTTAACCCCACAGGTTAAACAACAGAAGATAGTCGAGGCGAGGACTCGCTTCACAGATGAAGAGCTGGGACCAAGGAAATCAGTCGCACAAAACTTAGATGAAAAGCAATTGGAGAAGGGAGGAGCACACGTGGTCTTCAAACTGCTACCCCACTTCTTTGTCCCCTACGCCCGCCACCTCCTTTGTCATCCTCCCCGACTAAACCTCTCCCTTCTCTTACCCTTCCTCCTCCCCATCCGGGTGGATGTCACAAGCCAACAGGGCATCTAATGATGAGGAGCACAGGGGGACACTACACAACTGAAAGAAACAGCGACAAGTGAAGAAGGAAGGGGCCCTGACATGGGGGTTAACCCGGAAGGTGAACAGAGGGGATTCAAAGGGCAGCACAGGCACGGCACAGAACAAAGGGCGACCAGGGGTGGGAAATGGTGGAGTTGGCCCTGCTGAGTGGAGTCACACTTGCAGGTGAACGGCAGATGTAGAGACATCATACTGAAAGCAGGGCTACAGAGAAAGAGAGAGTAACGAGGTAGGGAAAAGGCATGGTCAGACAAGGTGGACAGTGTGCCCAAGGCTGCCTGGCTGTCTGAAACAATCCCACAAGAGACGTAAACGACCCATATCAAACAAAGGGCTGCAGCGATGGGGAAGCGGGTACTTGGAAGAGGGGCAGAATGAGGCAAATATCGCAAAAACTGGACAAGAAGGAAGGAAGGAACTGCTTCCAGGTTGAGGATGGGTCGGTGGAATGAGGGTGGTTAGGAAGGGTAACTACGCAGCCCCAACGGAAAGAAGGGAGTCAGTGGAGCAGTATCTAGGTACGGATGTGGGTGAAATCAATACTAAGGCGAATGCTGCAGCAAAATTAAAGGGGGAAGGGTTAAACTAGTACTTGGCCCAGCTATCGGCCGTGGCAATTCCTGGTTAACGCGCTGCGCCTTCAGGGCTTTGGGCTACCGGACCACAATGGCTGGAAGCGCTAGCCAAAGAAAAATTGAAACGGTACCCTGGCGCTTCGGCAAAAATTGGCGCACGGGCATTCCAGGCTCGGCATCGATAGCTGGTCCAAGTACTGGTGGTTTAAGAATGGATAGGTCAGAACCAGGCCTGGCATGAGTAGGAGGATTAATGTATAGGTCAGAACGAGGCCTGGCATGAGGAGCAGGATTACAGAGCGGAGATATTTGTCCCCCGAAAGCCCCACCTCTGTTGACATGGTGCCCCACTGGAGGGGGTTGCCATAATCAATAGGCAGGGCTGCACACACCTAGAACTAGGCCGTCCTTTAGGGAATATGGAGATGTAGGAAAAGGGGAGACGTTGTGAAATGAGAAACTGTGGAAAGTTGTGGGAAAGAGCTGGGCCCTTGGAAAAGGGAGAGGTTCAGCCCCGTGAGAAATAGGAAGCTCCAAGATAGGAAGAGTTAAACCACTGGTACACGGCCCCAGCCTTGTTGGAAAAGAAACTCGTCCCCTATGAAAATTTTGGAGCCTCGACATACCGGACCACAATGGCTGGTGGCACCAACCAAAAAAAAAAACAAAGCGCGCCGGTGGCAGTTTGGGAAAGTTTGGTGCGCAGTAAGGCGCCCGCAGGCTCGAGTATAATGGTAGTTCAAGGCTAGAGCCTAAAACTGTAATAACGTTGTATCTATGGGACGAATGACCCTGTTTCTCACAGGTGTCGCTCCCCACCAATGGTCGGAGCAACCCGTTGGTCAAGGCCTCAATCTGAAGGGTTCTCTCACCACCGCTGGGATCGTGGGTTTGCAAGAGGGTTTTCCCCCCTCCAAAAAAAAACAATCATGCTTCTGTAGAGCCTTTTTGAGGGCAGTGATATTCTTTGGCCATACAACATGAATGTATCCACCCGCTCATGAAATA